CCCCCACCTAGGAGACAAAGAACAGACTTTCAGAGATTCCTTACAGACCTCTTATTCTCTGGTCTTCATACATTCACAGAATGGCACAGAAACTGCCTTTACATGCACCTAAATGACACTAAAAGGACTTGTGAGCAACTAATCATTTCTATGCATAACTCCATATTATGTATGTAACCCAAATGTGTGACTATCAGGTCTCAATCATTTATTGTGTATGTATTTTGAATAACTATTGAATAGCTTAAGGGTTCATATACATATTTAGTATGTGTGCGTTTGAAAATTCATGCTTGAAACTTTTCTTCCAATCAATTCTTTGTCAAATGTATCATATTCTTGTTATAGAAATCATGTCCAAAATTATACTCTGCAAGAGTGGGAAAAACTCGGATCATGTGACTGATAAGATAACATTTTATTTATGAATTGGGAGGAGAAATATACAACACCCCCAGCAAAGACAGCGTCAAATTGGTCAAAACACCATTTGGGATGTGGCCAAAAGCCCAGTTTAAATACTCAGGACACCATCAAAGCTGCTCTTCTCTCTCTGCCCTTTTTTCCCTTTTCCCTGCTTTTTAGTTTTTGCCTGCATTTTAGTTATGTGCTTTCAAGTCATCACTTTTAGCCATGTGGCTTTTTAGTCATAGCTTTGAGCTGTGTTTTTTTAATCATGCTTCTTTAGCTTTTTGAGCGTGCTCTGGCTTACACTCCAGCTCCTCCAAAACCATGAGAAGAAACGCCACCTGGTCTCGTCAAACTTTACTTCTATTTCTTTACTTTAGTTTATTTTATTTTCCGTTGAGAGTTTCGTGTTCTTCTGAGTTAAGTTTTGCCTAACGCTGTGTCTCCGAGTCCGACCTCGAGTGCCGTCTTTTTGCCATTGAATATTCATACTGACAAACCTAGTGACTTTTTTGTATAAACCTTAGCTATGGTTCAGTTGGAAGATTTCTCCAGTGCTGTCCCGCGAACGCGAGGTCTGACTTTCCCAGAGAAGTGTCGCCTCTCTCGGCGTCTGTTCTGTGCAGTGAGCGGCAGAGAAGCAGTGCATTCAGTTGACCGCACTGCAGCCGACTCGTCAATAAATGAGGACAAAACAGCGTTTCCTAGCACCTGTCGCTTACTGATTGTTTGGAATTATAAATATGAGCGTAGTTCGTCTGTTAATATCACATGCACTTTTTTGTTTGTTGTTTTTAGTTTATTACTCAGGCGCAGGCAGTGCGCTGCATGAGACAAAAGAGTAATATAGCCAAAACAACCGCATAGCCGGTCTTTAGTGTAGATGCATGTTGATTTTATCAGACGATGCGGCGATTATAAATGAGAGTGACTCCTGGTTAACGTATTAAAAGGGGTCGTGTTTAATCACTATTTAGTGTGGTATTTTTTTACAATATTCACTCATCATGATAGTAAAATAGGGCATTCTAAGCCAATATACTGCAGTATTTCCTCTTTCAATCAGTAGAAAATATGGTTAACACCCGGTCATGCATGAAAAAAAATAACGTCTTGTACCGTGAAACCGGTATAATTTTGAAAAATACCGTGATATACATTTTTGGTCATACTGCCCAGCACTACTGCTGATTCTGTCTGTTAAATAAAAACTAACAGTTAAAAAGTTTAGAAATGTTCAGTAACATATGTTTGATATTTTGCATGTGTCCTCCGAATGCTTGTGTTGTTTTGATGTTGTACTGACAAGATACAGGCTAATTAGTCATTATGGGCCACATTAAAAAAAATTTATAAAAAAAATATATATATGCTAAAGAGTTAAATGCATCCAAATTCCTTAGAAATGTCTTGTCATAGGCATTTCTAGATGATGCACACCAAAATACACGTAGATCAGAAAAAGGATGGCAATCATGTTTTTGCATAAATGGAAATTACCATTTGATTTGAGGGAACTGAAGTATTCAGAGGAAAAATTTATTTCTATTCTTCCCTGTACAATTCAAAAGAACTTTAAATTAGCTTTTTATAGTGCTAACGTGTCCGATTATCACAAAATTTGGTACACAGCCTAATGTACACATTCTAGGTATCCACCAAATTTCATAATGACCAGCTATTAAAAATTCTAAGGTTTAGGCACTTTAGCCTCTAAACATTAGCTTCTAGACAGTTGCTCTTCAAAAACACTCTAAGAAAAGGCCTCTGGAAGATGTGACGTCATATAATATCTGATTCTGAACTTCAAAAATCAGTCTGTGTTAAAATTCTGCTTTGTACTGTAGTGTCACATACCTTGTCCTCCCCCTGTCCTTCAGTGTTATATGCGATAAGATGCTCTCTAGCATCAAACGGCATGGTCTTGAAATCTCCCGCAACTCCTGCACCTCCACAAAGACAGAAGAGCAGCAGAAGCAGCACCACTGCAAACACAGTCAACATCAGTCATCAGTGTTCTCTGAGCACTGCATCAGTAAACATCTTCCACAACCACACACAATCCATTCATATAGGGCCATGCAACAACAGCAGTCAACAGCTAACAAGAAATTCAAATATACTAACATGTTTTACTTGTAATATGTAAACTGTATGCAAATGTATACTTAGATTGAGATTTCATAATCCAGGATCTTTACATGGAGGACCAGATGTAATCAGTATTTTGAGCTTATTACTCAAAGCAATATCTGCTTAATGAAGATTATACTATATATATATTTCTCTGGGCAAAATATATTTTAAATATATGTAGCGTCTGGACCAATCAAACACACAATATATATTTTGTTAGCTATATTTAACAAATACTCTGTAACACCCCTCAGTTAACAAGCCATATGAGGACCTATGGACCCTTCCCTCGAGATGCGTAACACCCCAGGAAGCCGAACAGGCCCCTGGTCCCATGGCAACCAACGCTGATATCACTGGGTTTATTGTCCGAAGGAATGTGAAACAGAGAAAATCACTACCTTTTTATAGCAAGAAGCATAAGGCTCAGTAGAAATTGACATTTCTACTAATTAATTAATAGGAAAACCTTTCTTTGAATGAACACACATATATATTGTCTTTGAGATTTTATACTGTTTTATGCAGGCTTATGATCGAAACACTCCTTCCTGTCATCTTACATATATATAACCCTACCATGTTTAGTATCTATGAATTAGTCTTCTGATGATCTAAATGAGAGTGTATATTGTATGTTTATACCTATGCAACATATTAGTGTTCTAAGAATCTTTAGTAATTTTGATCCAAGTTTCATATGCAAATTACCACGCTTTCAAACAAAGGGTCATAAAAACTCCCCAGTATCTCAAAACTCCCACTTGGGACGTCAGCCTCTCTCATTGGATGAGCCCATCTTGAGAGGCGTGAATCTTTGCAGACTTTAAAGGCCGATCTAAATATTCATAATTAATTATAACTAGTTATGATTAATTATTCATACTTCCCCATGAGCTGATTCGTTACATATATGTTGTAAACAATGAAGTTAAATTATTATAATTTTTTTAAATGGAAAAAATATTTAGTTTCAACCTTCATATACCAGAATAAATTTCAAAATGCATTTCAAGGGCAAGAAAATACATTTTTAATCTTACAGCAGAATACATTTTGGCTAAAATGTAAATTAGGATAAAATAGCCTACTACAGATCAAAACTAGATTTATAATGGTTCATTACTGTTAATACATTTTTTAAATAAAATTCTTCAAATGTGTTATTGTCAGGGATACTCCAGCCTCATCAGACCCAATCACTCTACTTCGAGATGCAGCCTCAGGCCTTCACCAACGATCGCTCCAAGATCGCGTTTATGATCTCCCATCTAGCAGGATGCGCTCTTCAGTGGGCACAATCCATTTGGAATTCCAACAGCCCCGCTATTTACACTCTAGCAGCCTTTACATCACATTTCAAAGAGGTGTTCGGTCACTCCGCCACGGAGATCTCCGTCCATGATAAGCTCTTCCGCATCAGCCAGGGCAAGGCATCTGTGAGTGAGTATGCTGTCAAATTTGGCACCCTAGTGGTGACTAGTGGCTGGAATGAGGTGGCCTTACTAACCGTGTTTCGTTAAGGGCTCAACACAGACATTCGATTACATATGGTAATTTATTATGACACGGTTGGCCTGGAAAGCTTCATTCAGAAAGTCATCAAGATCTCTCAGCTTTTATATGCCTGCAAGGATGTCCTGCCACTCTCTTCACTGACCTCAACCGCCTCACCGCCTTCAGCACCAGAACCTATGAAAGTTGACTCATATCATCTCACCGTGTGGAGCGCAACCGGAGGATGACTTCCAGACTCTGTCTGTACTGTGGAGCTAACTGACACTTGATTAATTCCTACCAGGTCCGACCAGCATGCCGAGCGGTGAGTACCATCCAGCTCAGTCCTCAAATAGCAACCCTGACTCGCATGAGTGTATCATTAATTTAATCTCACCAATCCCTTTCAGCGCGTGCTCTCATAGACTCTGGCTCCTCTGGAAACTTCATCTCACTGGCCACACTACAACGGCTACGGCTCAAACCTCAGAAAAATGCTCAAGTCTGGAATATCCTCACCATCCAGGGAAAACCACTGGGCCGTGGCAAGATTTGTTTATGCTCTCCCAACATTATGCTTCGCATTGGGTGCCGTCATGAAGAGCTCCTCTCCTTTCTGGTGCTGGAGGATTCCACCATGGAGGTCATTCTGGGACGCCTGTGGCTGACCCTTCATTCTCCCATCATTAACTGGAATAATAACGAAGTTCTCCACTGGAGTGAGTACTGTCTTCAGAACTGCCTGACCAAAATTTCTTCACCACAATCTCATCTCCTTCCAGTCTTTGCCACCAATATTGAGAGTACTGAACCGAAGGAGGTTCCTACCATCCCTCCAGAATACCGGGCGTACCAGGATGTATTCCGTAAGTGGGCCGCCACGAAACTACCACCTCACCGGCCATGCGACTATGCCATCGATCTGCTGCCTGGAGCTCAACTTCCCAAGGGTAGAGTTTACCAATTGTCCATCCCGGAGCAAAGAGCTATGGAGGAGTACATTGAGGAGGCTCTCCAACAAGGCTTCATCCGTCCCTTGACCTCACCGGCTGTGTCCAGCTTCTTCTTTGTGGGCAGAAAGGACAGAGGCTTGCGGCCATGTATCGATTACTGTTCCCTCAATTCTCAAACAGTCAAATACCCGTATCCCCTTCTGCTGGAGGAACTATGTGGAGCTCGCATCTTCTCCAAGCTGGACCTGCCTTCATCACTCCCACCGGACACTATGAATACCTCGTTATGCCGTGTGGATTATCCAACTCACCTTCTGTCTTCCAAGGGTTTATGAACAAGGTGTTCCAGGAGTTTCTCCATCGCTTTGTGATTGTGTATATCGATGACATCCTCATATACTCCTGGAACCTGGCCTAACATTGGCATCACGTGGAGCAGGTCCTTCAGAAGCTGAGGAAATACCACCTTTACCTCAAGCTGGAGAAGTGCAAGTTCCAACGCACCACCACCAAGTTCCTCGGCTATGTTATCAGTCCCCAGGGCATCCAGATGGATGACAACAAGGTGCAAGCCATTCGGAACTGGCCTCAACCCAAGACCTTTAAGGAACTTCATCGCTTTCTGGGATTCTCCAACTTCTACCGCTGCTTCATTCATCATTTCAGTCTCATCACAGCTTCTCTAACCTCCATGCTCTGTAACAAGCCCAAGTCTCTGTCCTGGACACCTTAAGCCCTCAAGAGTTTTGAACAGCTAAAGGAATCCTTTTGCACCACTCCTACCCTCACCCACCCGGACCCTCAGTGGCTGTTTGTCATTGAGGTCGATGCGTCCACAGTAGGAGTAGGAGCGGTGCAATCACAACGTTTCGGAGAGCCTCCAGTCCTCCATTCCTATGCATACTTCTCCTGCAAGCTTTCCCCGGCTGAGCAGAACACTGGACGAGGAAATCTGCTAAGCCACTCAGTCAGAACGTGCTGTGCCATCACCAAGTCTCCCCATCATCTGCCACAAGGAAAACTGGTACCGCTTCCCATACCACGCCTCCCTGAATCGGAATCTTACACCTGTATCCTTGTTGTCATCGACAGATTCTCTAAGGCGTGCAAACTTCTCCCACTCAGATGATTACCCATCTCCATGGAGACCGCAAAACAGCTATTCCACAATGTGTTTTGCAACTTTGGTATTCCTGAAGATATCGTCTCAGATTGTTGGCCTCAATTCATCTCCTGGGTCTGGGTGGCCTTCTTCCAACTCTTAGGAGTCTCCATAAGCCTGACCTCTGGATACCACCCGCAATCTAATGGCCAGACTGAGCGAAAGATCCAGGAGATCAGGAGATATCTTCGCAGCTACTGCCATAACCAGAACTGCTGGAGACATTACCTTCCCTGGGCCGAGTATGCACAAAACTCCCTCCGGCAGAACACTACCAGCCTCACACCCTTCCAGTGTGTACTCTGCTTTCAACCTCCCCTTTTCCCATGGACCAGAGAGCCATCTGAGGTTCCAGCGGTCGTTAAATGATTCCCTTTGAGCTAAATTATTGACCTGTTTCCCTTACAATAGCGAGAATTGGACCTTAAAATAAAGTGTGACCACATTTTACAACGGGAACTAAGGTTAGTGTGATTGTTAATGATTTGATATTATAAGAGACTTATAGAGCTTGGTACACAGCCATGAGGGGCTGATGGGCCTGTTTCCCTTACAACTGGTTCAGAGAGAGCGAGAGGGTATGTGACTCGGTGCATGTCCAGCAGGCAGTTCGGAGACACCAGATCCAAGCGTACGTTCGTCGCCTACCTACTCCGCAATACCAACCAGGAAATAAGGTTTGGCTGTCCACACGGGACATCCGACTGCCTTGCCACAAGCTGAGTCCCCGCTATATTGGCCCGTTCACCATCAGGAGGCAGATCAACAATGTCACCTACAGGCTTGATCTTCCATCTCTCTACCGTATAGCACCTACCTTCCACGTATCTCTGCTCAAGCCTTGCACTAATCCTCTGTCTCCTTCTCCCTCAGGGTCTGACGAAACGGACGTACCTCCTCCTCCCGAGATCGATGAGAAGGAAACCATCTACCGAGTCAACACCATACTGGACTCCCGGCATCAAGGTGGCCGCCTAGAATATCTCATCGACTGGGAGGGATTCGGCCCCAAGGAAAGGTCATGGGTGCCTAGAGACGATATCCTGGACTCGTCATTCCTAATTCATTTCCATACCCTCCATCCCGATTGTCCTGCACCCAGGGGCTGCAGCCGTCCTCGACATCGGCAGCAGGCGTCGGGAGCCGCCCGTGGAGGAGGGGTACTGTCAGGGATACTCCAGCCTCGTCAGACCCAATCACACCTAATCAAGATTAGCTCTAATCCATATTTACCATATGGGTAAATCAGCAAAAAATAAATAAATAATAATAATACTCAATAATAAAGTAATTGATAATAAACATAACAGAAAATTAATTTCCTTAACGATTAGTTGAGAAAATTAGCCAGTAACACTACTTTAAAGTATTTGAAAATGCATTTTTAAGAACACCCATTTTACTTTTTAATGCAAGCATTTCTATTTTGACAAACAGCACATACTGACAGAAAGAGAGCTTCAGTGTTTGAACTCACACAGAAGCAGCAGCAGTCCCAGCAGCATTAGAAGAACACCAGATGCTCCAAACGTGGAGACGGTCTTTTGGGGCATGCAAACTTTAGCTGCGTCACACGTGCAGATGTCTATCTGAAGCTCCTGACTAGCACAGATCTTCCCCTGCTGGTCCCACACGTCCACAAACACATGGTACATGCCAGGCCACAGTGTTTTTTGAGACCTGAATATCGCTGTAGTGCCTGAAAATATTATTTAATAGAAAAAGAATATGACGTAAGCAAGATTGACACATGATGAATGACCTGTTTTCAAGACTGTTTTAAAATTGAATCGAACAATTTTGTTTCTAGAGTGTAAAAAAAATGTCAAGGTGACTCAACTTGCTGTAGTAACTAACTGCACACCCTCATTAACTTTATCATCTTAAGCCCTATTTGGATGCGAGATGGGGTAATGTGATAATTACCAGATTATTATAATTAATAATCCAGCCTCCAGGATTGTAATACTGTCTAAAACTCCAATTGTTTGGAGCAGAAGTTGGTAAAAGAAAAGACACCAGAAAATGAAATGAGAGGTATAAATATATAGTAAAGCATTAAAACATTAGTATGTTATAAGCAAAATGCATTAAAATGGCATTCTTATGCACCCTGGACGCCTCCACCGATACCACTGGATGCTGAATCCGGTTACTTATTCACTAGTCTAACATGCTTCTGATGTTAAAGGGGTCCTACTATGCTCTTTTACAAAGTCTTGATTTTGTTTTGGGGGTGTACTAGAACAGGCTCTCATACTAGGTTGCTCGAAAAACACATTATTTTTCACATATTTTACATTATTACAACACCTCTCTTCCCAGTCTGGCATGAACCGCTCGAATAGTTCCTGTATCAAATGAAGGCCCGCCTTCTGAAATACGAAATGTGCTGTGATTGGTTAGCTGGGCCAGTGTGTGATGTGATTGGTTAGCTGGGCCAGTGTGTGTTGTGATTGGTTAGCTGGGCCAGTGTGTGCTGTGATTGGTTAGCTGGTCAGTGTGTGTTGTGATTGGTTAGCTGGTCAGTGTGTGTTGTGATTGGTTAGCTGGGCCAGTGTGTGTTGTGATTGGCAGCACTCGGTCGCCTGGTCGGGAAATGTCATGCCCCTTTCCATAGCCACCTGCGAGCTTCAGTGTAAATATTGCATCAAAATCAAATCAATTTGAGCGCAATTTAAACCCGGATGATTGTAAGCACTCTAAGTTTGTCTGCCTTTGGAAAGCTAACGTGTCTCCGACATAGTGATAACACTCATTGCCTTCTCTAATGCAGCTCAACCAGGTCTCATCCCATTCGTCGGTATTTGTGATATCACGAATCCCGGAAAATATGCATTGTAGTCCAAACGAGTCATTCGTTGTAGTTTTTGAAAAGTGATTTCTGTTAAATAAAATATCTCCTTTTGAAGGGGACTTTGAGCTTTGTAACTTTGCAGATCTTTTTTATGCTCAAACAGCAACATTACAGACTAACTAAAGTTGAAAAAGTGAAAAAGCATAAAATGACCCTTTCAACATGTTATGAAAAATGCACAAAAATACTATTTTCAAATTTACATGAAAAATATATTTTCCAAAACATGTTTTACTCTAAAACTGTGAAACAAATCAAAGGCATAAACCTAAACAAGTTGTGTTCCAAATTTGAGGTTGATATCTTAAAAAAATGAACTTTCAGTATGACTTTGTTTGGACGAATGAAATAAAAAAAGGGTTGATGGTGCATTCAAGTCATGTCGAAAAGATCAAATTTATGAACTGAAAACATATGAACGCCACCACAAAATTGTAAGTGAGAAAACATGTCGGACACAATAGTTGCAGCATATTTACTGACAGTAAATTTTCTGAAAATAATAAAAAATAATGATTTTGTTGTCGCTGTTATTATTATGATGAAATAAGTGTTTAATCTGCATTTGAATCCTTTTTCACCTTATGTCTGAGTTCACCTGGCTTTACAGCCAGTTACTTACTGATGCTTTCTATTGCACCTAAATGCAACGCTTACGTGACGCTTCCTTCATGCATCAGTATCTACAGCATCATTCTCATGAAGAGATTATGAAGTGCTGTATCTCAGTTTACAAACTCAATTCTGTAGCAAAAGTCAATTTTTCACTGTACCATATTTTTATGGATCCTTGAGCTTCGAATATGGGACAAAACAGATATATGAGCCAAGCATGAATGTCAGTTATGCTTATTTCAAGTCTGCATTTCTCCGTAATTCTCTAATATCTCATGGCCTTGACATATTATCACATCCACATGAGTTCCTATACTGTATCTTGGCTTTAACAGTCTATGACGTTTCCACAAGTTAATGTGATGTGGCCAAAAGAAGTTACAATTAATTACCATTGAGAGGCTCGATGCTCCATGACTCCTTTGTGCTTATGGTGTCCACTTTGAAACTAAAGGGTGCTCCATTGGGGAACTGATCTTTGTCCACAGCCGTGACATAAACCACTTGATCCTCATAGCACAGCGTTTGAGACTGATGGCTCAGCACAGGACAGTGGTCATTAAAGTCTTTTACTTGAATGGCAATGGTTCCTGTTGCAGTTTTAGCCGGGGTATCTGTAACAGAAATGGCAGCACATGAAACTATACATTTTGAAACTCTTTTGCTTTTTTTATAAGTGCTTTTAATAATATCTGTTGCCAATTCTAAGGAGTTTTACATACAAACCACCAATGCTGGGTAGATTAAGTCTGTTACTGATTACAAATTACATGATGAAAACTGTAGTAAATAACATAATCTGGATTACACATATGTAGTGAGTACATATCATTTGGATTATGTAATCAGATTCCAAAATCCAGATTATATGTACTCAGTTACTACCCAGCACTGCATATCATAAAATGTAATAGCCTATCACCACAGGCTCACTTACCATTAGTGATGCATATTATCTGAGCGCAATATGTGCCATTGGTCAGAAACTTGGACTCATAATCTGGTATTTTATTTAGTCTTATATCAGCCGTCCTCTCATCTATAATCAACCAGTTGTCAACATCTCGTCCTTTTGCATACCTAAAATTAAATAAATGAATAGTTTTATTTCAACAGCTGAACAAAACCACATCCTTTAGTATGTTTGTAGAATTTCTGTAGTCTCACCTCACGTTATTAGCAATTAGTAGCGTATCGCTGTCTATTGCTGCGTAATTGGTAATGACTTTATGTAAAATAGTGCTGGTGCTTTCTTCAGAGATGGTGATGACTTTGACAGCGGGTTTGAAGCGAGGGCCCTCAGGCTGGTTGACCACACTGACATGGATGCTGTATGTCTTGCTCTCTGTTATGACTACTGAAGAGTGATACTGTGCCTTGTTAGCAACAGACACCTGCAGCTTGATTTCCTTCAGCTCTTCGTAGTCCAGCTCCTGTAAAAGCAAACAAAGGGTGAAAAGCAGGAAACGGGGGATGCAGGAATGTAGGAGACTTCCTGCTGGACATTTGAAGTATCAAACACACACACACACACACATTTATTCCTGTTCCTGAAGGTCCACTTATAAAGAATTTTACATCAAAAGTAGTAATCATTTAGAAATAAAGGGTCATTTCCTACCCTGTTTTTGTATCTTTGTTTTGAACACTATTTAAAGGGGCGTGTTTCTTTTAATCCTCAAATAAAATGCCCACTGCATTGATTGGGTAACATGCTTGCTTCTGAAATAATAAAACTATACAGTGAACCACGATTATGATTACAGTTTCAATCAATTAATTGTGATACAATAATAGTAAAAATGCAACACGTTTAGGGTCAGATTTACTAACAGCTTGCGCCAATTTATGGGGGGAGAGTATTAAAGTGAATCACACAAAGATAATTAAAGGGTTAGTTCACCCAAAAAGGAAAATTAGCCCATAAATTACTCACCCTCAAGTCATCCTAGTCATCCCTGTGTATGACTTTCTTCTTTCAGACGAATCCAGTCGGAGTTATATTAAAAATCATCTTTGATCTTTCAAGCTGTTGCCGGTGTTCTGTCGATTTGTGCTACCCTGTCAGATTTTGCTACCTCCCATTAAAACAGTGGATAGTGCAATTCGACAACAAAAAATGCTACCTGTAAAATTATGGTTTATTAATGTCTAGACATACCACAACCCTAAACCTACCCTTACAGTAATGCAAATACGGTAATTATTATATTCATGGTTGTAGCTAGAAGGGATACGGCTACAGGAAACCAACAATAAAAAAAAATTCTACCTATTAGATTGTGTTTTATTAAAGTCTATACCTACCCCAACCCTAAACCTACCCTTACAGTAATGCAGATAGATTAAAATATTGTTGTTCAGCATGAGAAAAAGGACGCAATATTGATGTGCGCATGCGCAGTAAACCCAGGTAGGACAATCTGACAGGTAGGATAAAATGTCAGGACACCGGTGAGTCTCGTGAAAACCAACGTATGTTAATAGGAGCAAAGTAAGCAAAGTTTCCTTACTTTAGCAAAGAAAAAACAGTCTCCTCTTGGCTTATATCAAAATCCTCTGACATTCTTCTTTACAAATCCTCGTTTTGTACTTCTAATTAGTGACCGTTGTTTTGTTTTGATCTCTCCGCTGCGCTTCTGCATTCATCACTTCTGAGCGGCGCATGCGCAAAGCTGACCTCATACGTCATCCGCCCGGAACTGCTTCCAGTGTACAACTGTTGGCGCAAGCTACATTAAAGTGATTATTACGTTTTGAATATGGATATTTTTCTTACAAAAACACATCGATTCGCTACAGGAGGACTTTGTTCACCCCCCGGAGCCATGTGAGAGACTTTTTTTATGGATGGGCGATTTTTATTTCACTTCTTTTGGACTGATGCATGCAACACCTGCTGAGTGGCATTAAACACCTTGATAGATCAAAGACCATTTTTAATATAACTCCGACTGGATTCGTCTGAAAGAAGAAAGTCATATACACCTAGGATGACTTGAGGGTGAG